ATATTCCAGAATTTTCGAAAGAAAGAACAACAGAGAGAAAGAAACTCGACTCTGTAAAACGGGACAAGGAAAGAGAAAAGAGAATTCCAATGAAGTCGACAGAGTACTAGTGTCGTCGATTGAATCTAGCATCGTTAACGTTAATTAATAATAATAATGATAGTACTAATTATAAATACTGTTTAACATAGGAGAATATTTGGCGATAATCCCCTGTAAAAGTATATCAATAGTATTATAACTAACTGTAAAGTAATCGTAGATATAGCGTGCGATAATTAATTAATCTGACCCAGATTGTTGTCGAATTGGTATCTAAGGAAATTTCATTTCGTCTCGTTCCTGAAGACAAAAATATTCCTTAGATTCGATCAACGTGACTTTTCCTTAAGTTTTAGAAATTATCGTAGACTTAGAGTGTGATCGTTAATTAATCTAATTTAATTTTATTATCTTCGAATTAATATTTCAGAGACTGTTTTTCTCTAATTTTTAGTACATTTACGATCCGGTGAAAAAGTTAGTTACTCGTCGTTGGCAACTCGACGTCGATTGATTAATCATTGCACTACATTACAGTATTTGTACCACACCAAATCTTGGAGGACCCTTGATCGAAATTTGACGGTGCACTGCTGTCGGAATACCTGAGAGATGATTTGTCAGTCAATCTTAATTTATGATATCGAGCCAATATCGACGAAAGAATACGAAACGAATACGTCGTTTCTTCCAAGAAGGAGAAAAATCTTCTCAACAAAAAGCTAATCACACGTATCGCGGAAAATTCCTCAGAAGAAAAAAAGGAAAAAAAAAGAAGTATCTCATCTTTCTCGTAGAAAATTTCTAAGTGTGTGCGGAGAACAAAAAAAAAAAAAAAAAAAAAAAAAAAAAAAAAGAAAAAAAAATAGGAGATCTCGACGAAGACTCGCATCTTTCCGAAAAAGTAAAACTGCAGAGTGAATGATGGACAAAGAGAGGGAGAAAGTATGTGTATGTGAAAGAGAGAGAGAAAGAGAGAATGAATCGTTCTACGTATTTCTATATAATAATAATCGAGAACTGTCGTCTGTTCAGGACCGTGCGTCCGGACTCTATAATAGGGACGATAAAAAGTCAATTGCCCGTAATTTATCGTTTAACGTCGGATAACTCGTCGCTGATGCTAATTAGCCTCGATCGTAAGATTAATCGATACTCGCAAAACAGTATTGTGTAGATAATGTACGATTAACTGACGCTATGAGATTCAATGCTGGTCGTTCTTCGAGGGAAAAAAAAAAAAAAATGACTGACATTCTTCTTCGAGAAAGAGAAAAGAAGATGGATGAATTGATCATTCTGTTTGATACTTGGAATTGTTATGGAAGTAGCAGTAGAGTATACTTAGCACCAAGTATATATAGGGAGTGATACACACTTGTATTATTTAAGAAAAAAATATTTAAACCACAAAGTTTTGAAAATGTACTGAATTAATATTGTCAAAAATTACAGTGTTGGCAGTCGTTACAATTGAAATTTTTTCATTTTCAAGTCATCCCCGATTGTGAGAGTTATCGTATTCAATTTACTTGTATTAGATAATCACTCAACAGTGTGACATGATCTAAATAATAATTCCAATGATCAGAAAAAGAAGAAGAAGAAGAAGAAGAAAGACAGAATTTTTATTCGAAGTATTGTACGTTGGACCAGCATAGACAAAGAGCTCCATATGCTCGCGCACACACACGTACACACAGGAACATATACACATATATACTATATACGAGGAAAAAAAAAAATAAAAGAAAACAGATTAATAAGAAAAGTTGTATAATGTTTTATCGTCGTTAAGATAAATCGACGTAGTTTCGCGAATTACACTAGCGTGTAATTAAAGATTTAAAGAGGAATCGTATTAATATTTGTCGAGCCATTTTTCATCCAGAATTTGACGAATGAAGTGAAATCGATTTGAAAAAATCAATTTATTGAAAATTTCACAATTGTAGCCTGAAATTCGAAATTCAGCCATCTCGAGTCCGGAATGTCCCTTGTTAAAATTTTCCACCCTCAAGACTCCAAATTTTCCACTTCGAATGAACAAATGTAATTCAGAAAAATCTATAATTTTCTGAAAATCTAAATCTTCAGATTTTCAAAGCAAAAAAAAAAAAGGAAAAGAAAAAGAGAAGAAAGATGTAAGATGAAAAATGGCTCACTGTAAATTCTTTCGTTGACGTTTCAAGAGAATACCGCCCACGTAACTAAAACAATGAGAAAGAGAAAGAGAGAGAGAGAAGTCAAAGTATCGTAGAAGGGAGAAAGCGACAGGTAGTAGCTCACGGTGAAATGCTCGAACACGATTTAAAAGGGAGAAAGAAAAATGAAGAATAAAAGAAAGAGTGAAGATGGAGAGAAGCATCAATATATCAAACTGTCGAGTACGTTGTAAAATTAGTTGAAAAAAATCTAGAGCTGTGCGGCAAATGGAGGGAAGGACATTGAGTAAAATGTTCCTCGATCCAGCAGTATTTCTTTCGTCCTCCGATCTCGTTCATTTTCCACCCTGTAGAAGAATGGAAATCGCGATGAAGAATGATGCGCGAACGTTCGAATTTCGTCGAGTGTTGAGAAATAATAACGCGAATAATAAAGGACAAAATTATAAAACGATCTGTCGTGGGAATAAATAACTCTCCGAAAGTTTTTATATAATTTAAATATAATTTAAATTTAATTTATACATATGAATATATATTGGTTATGGTTTCTCAGAAATTTTATACAAAATTTATCGCAGTTGTTCCTTGACTTTTTTATTTCATTGAGAAATTCTTCTCAATGAGATTTTGTCTATTGACAAGAATAACAAGGATGAACATTTCTATTGGAAAGACAGTTCAACCTGTTTCTTTAGAAAAATACTGAAAATGAAAACAAGAGAGAAAGTGTCAAAGTAAAAGCTGCCAAAGTCCAGCAATTAAACGCTACGTATCACAAAATCATTTATCCTGGCTTTGTTAAATTATTTGTTTCTTCGCGTGGAAGAAATAAAATTCACGTTCGATGGAATTCGAACGAAACGAAACAACAAGGGACAAGAGTGGGTGGGAAATGAAAGGGTGAGAGAGGTGGTGTTTAAAAAAAGTCGCTAATCAGATTTAATCGCGCGTGGACACGCGCAATTTTAGGACGAATATGTTATATATATATATAAAAATATATATATATATATATATATAAATATGAATATTATAAAAAAAAGTATATATAAAAATATATATATATTAATATTTAGATTTATATTATATGTACAAGGGGACGTGTATTGCGATTATGGCAACGGCCGGGTGCGTAAAAGAAAAACGAGCGACACAGGGGACATTTGCGTCGTTTTATTACTATTATCAATAATTCATTACCATTACCGATTATTATAAGTAAATATATATATATTTCCGATTATTATAAGTAAATATATATATATTTCCGTTGAGAATATGAATTATTGCGACTTTTAAACGAGATTATCGATTATAACGATCGAAAATTTAGCCCTCGTTATTACTGACGTCGACGTCTGCTAATTATTGTCGAATTAATCATTATATCGTTCAATGATTAAGAGTTTGGATAGAGTCGTACGTTATTAGAATCGAGATCTATCGATCGTGGTATTTCTTTTTTGCGTTCAGTATTATTTGTCGAGGTTAGTGTGTAGAGGGGATGAAAGTATAGTTCAACCCTTCGTTTGTTTGTTTTTTTTTTTTTTTTTTTCTTTTATAATATTCACATTCACTTTAACTTTGGAAGAGGTATAAAACGTTGAAAATTTTTCAAATTAACCCTCTGTAAAACTTAGAATTTCATTTACTGGAAAAGATACTGAAATTAAAATATTAAAATAATAAATATTTTCACGGTTTGAAAATATTATCATTTACTGTAGTTAAATAGCCTCGTGACAATCACTGGCAGTAAAGAAACATCTTTTACTTTGAAATTTGTGAAAAATAATATGGTAAATTGAATTTAATGGAAGAAAATTAAAATGATGAAATTAAAATCGAAAGATACATATTACAGAGGGATTAATTGTTTTTCAAAATCGGTCAAGAAGGGTTGTTCTGTGCTTCTTAAACAGTCTCAGCATTTTTCCATTCCAATATTAATTATTTCTCTGTCATATCCGTGAGAAATTATACTTCTTTCTCTATTAAATTCCCATTGTTTTTCATTCCACTGCCCTTCGAATAATTAATGATCTACACCCACGCAACAGAATGAAAAATTATCACGTGCATTGCGAGTTGCAATGATCAAGTTCGAGAGAGAGAGAGAGAGAAAATTATACTTCTTCCTTCTTTTCGCAAATCAATCAAACGACATTCATTTCTGTTCGCCAGTTTTTTAATCGACACGTATGTAAATATAGGTTTTTATCGTACGTTTCTCGCGAGACGAGAAGGACAAAGTATAACGCTGACGTATTATTAATTAAACGAAGGCCTTTACTACAATTAAGTTTCTTCGCGGCGGCGAACGAAAGGATAACGATAACGATGATTTGAGGTTTATATTTCTCTTTCTTTGCAAGCGCGTTATTTTCTTACGGGGAAACCGACGAACGACGGACGACGAAGAGGACGATGGAGAATGTTGGAGTTAATTTTCGATCGATATCAATTATTGACATGGATTATATATGTGCGTCGTGTATTCCTACGTTTCATTGTCCTATGGTAGTCGGCATTATTTTGTAAAGAAGAATAAAAATAAATTGACAAATGTACAAGAATCAAGCCGGCGTATTGATTTCTCTGAGACACGTGCAAATCTGTGAGAGTAATAAGGTAATATCGAGGTAAGAGCGACGAGAAATCTTGAAGTAATCTGGAAAACTTTTATTTTTCAGGTTTGAGATAAGAAAAGAAAAAAGAAAGACCGACGATCTTTTCACTTCAAATGCTTCATTGACACATTAATTGAGTGTGTGTGTGTGTATATATGTATATATATATATATATAAAAATAATAAAATCTTGTCGCGTGATAAAATAAAATTCATTGCGCATTGTAAACAACGTAGTGAAGTGACGGGACAGCAGAATATTTGACGAGAGTTGAGTAATCAGAATACAGAGGTAAAGTATCGAGAGGTGAAATTATTTCTTTGGACAAATCAATTGGTTTATCTTGCTCCTCCGTTCGTTCGTTCTTGTTAATCGGCTCGTTGTCTCGATTGGTTTTCAACGTGGTGCTTGCTGGGGCGATGGAAGGACCTGTCGCGAACAGAAAAAAATTTTGAGATTAAGAAATCTTGTAAACACGCTGAGGAACTCTTAATTTAGAAATTTACGCTTGGAAATTTTTGGCTTTGCGAACGTCGTGAAATTCAGGAAAGATCAGTTATTAGTTTCTAGATTCTGTATTCTTTTTCGAAAAAATTTCTCCAAAAGCGTGAAATCTTCGTTCCGGAATACTAATTTGTCAAACGACGAAAGTATTCGCCTCGTTAAATCGCAAGCCTGTCGTTTGAGATTATAGCGACCGTCGTATTGTGTCACGTTCAAGGTTAGTCATTTCCTGCTCGCCTACTGAATAGAATAGAATCACTCGTGGATGACAAGTTTTTATACCTGAAGACAACAGGAATAACTTTCAATTTTGATCGTGGTCGTGATCGTGAAACGTTCCCTCGCGGCAAGTTGTACAAAGATTCAGTCTTTATCTTTGCCTTTCTTCAAAAAAATTATTTTAAATTACTTTATTATTCAGCACTAGTTGAATTAATTAAATCAAGTGGAATAAAATTAATGTTCACTGTTTTAATTTGGTAAAATTAACAAATTATATTAATAATAATTTTTCAGTTACGTTAATCTTTGATAAAAATTTATCCTCATGTTTGGTTTTTTTAAAATCGGTGGATCAAGCAAAATGTGAGAGTAAAAGTCAAAGGCCGATGGCGAAGGTAATCTAGGAAGATCATTGGCCCCGGAAACGGAGCGACCTTCGGAACGAGGAACGAAATCTCTTACTCACGCAACTGATTTCGAGACATTTAAACCAGGAAAAAAATTAATCGGATCGCCCTTGCTTCTAAATATGCAAAAAAAGCGGTCGAGCGATAAAAAATGGTAATAAAGCAACTTTTATATAAGAATTTGGATCGACAAAATTAAATTACTGCGTAGTCGTTTTTCGTCTGTCATTCAAATTTTGGTTATCTGCGTGCTTACTTCCATAAATTAAAATTTAAATTGAAACAGAAATAGAAACACTGTAAAAAGAATGGCCGCAGAGTTATCACAGTCGTAAATAATTTGAAACCTTGAAATTTCGTTTCAGAAGAATAAAATTATATTTTGTAAGAATTGTACAATATTATACCTTTGACATTCGTTGGTGCTTGTACGAGGGATGGAACGAGCAAAATATTTCCATGGGAAATTCGAAAGACAGGTATCGTAGACTCTTTGATTGTTTTAGGTACTATCTCACTGCTCGTTGTTTTCACTGACGCCTTAGTATTTTCATTTCTCGTCGATTCAACTTTGGACCCCAGCTAAATTATTCAGATTAACATTACGCATTTGCTTTAATTAGCTCCAGTAATATCCAATTACAAATATCTTTTTATATATTTAATTAATGTAATTAATTACATTTAGGAAATGCAATTAACTAGCAGAAGTTGTTTCGAATATTTTTACGCAGCAATGTAAATTATTCAATTTTAAAAATGTAATTTCATTGCGCTGAAAGATACGTATCGTACCGTGTCCAATCCTTGTAGAAACACGTTGCTTTCGTTTATTTTGTATCCTTCCTTTGCCCTTTCGTCTGTCTGAGAAATCTTCATCAATGGCTGCAATTCTCGCAAGAATACATTGTTCTCTCCTATTTTATTCTCTTCCCCTGCCAGTTCCTCCTCCAGCTGAGGAGTATCAGCTCTTTGTATCTGGAAAATTCGTTGTCAATAAAATTGAACAACTATTAGCAATATCAACGAAGTTAATAACAAATGTTTGGAAGTAACGATTATTAATATAGTGCATAAAGTAGTAACAAGTATCACGCTCATGTTAGATCAAATAATTATTAATATCAAGTATTAGCAACACTTCAAACAAATAAATAGTATCAGATACTAGTACGAAATAGTTACAGGTATTGGTAATATATATATTCCAATAGTGTTAGTATTAGTAACACTTGAAATTAGTAGTACTATCTTATCGAGTATTAGCAGCATATATTCTAAGTATTAGTAATACTTGAAATTAGTAGTATTATGGTACCAAGTATTGATAATACTTGAAATTAGTAATGTCAAGTATTAATAATATATATTCCAAGCATTAGTAACACTTGAGATTAGTAATATAGTATCTCAAACAGTAATAATATCAAAACTAATCGGTTACTAGTAACACATCAAAATTCATTCATTCGGCTTGCTGTTTATCTTTACCGGAAGTGGCGCCTGGGGTAGATTGGTGGCGGTCACACGGAAGCCGTTTTTACTGTCAGCAGTGTACTGAGTGGTTTGAATAACGCCTGCGTCGTCGATGTAACTGTAAACGCCTCGAGTTTCGCCATTCGATGTTCTAACCTCTGACCTTGCTGAACCTGGTGCACTGTACCCGAAACTGTATTGACCGTAACTGTCCTGATATCCGAGGATTGGCCTGGCTGATTCGGCCGAGCCGGATGAAACGAGACAACAAAAGAGGAGGAGCACCTGAATACGATCGTTCAAGAATTGGACAATTTAATCCATGCTCGATAGATAGACGAATATTGCATTTTGGAGATGAATATTGCATCCATGGTATTTGGACTTCAGAATTATAGTTAGTGTATTTAATGTACTATGTTAGTATACTGACAGTGTATTGAAAGTATTTAAGAAAGTATAAAGTATAAAAGTATGTATACTATTTATAATACTGTACTATTTAAGTATGTATACTAATTACTATGACAGTATTTGTTATTAATACTACAAATCAGTATAATATGTATACTACTTACAATACTGTACTCTTTAAGTATGTATACTAATTACAACGATAGTATTTGATGTTAAAAAGTATAAATCAGTAGAGTATGAGTTAAACTGGTACCCTAGTATTTAAATCTCCAGATTAATGAGATCAATAGATTAATTTCGAATAAAGTCAAGCGTTTAAATTAGCAATTAAAGATCACCAGGTAAAACGCAACACAAATGGCACATTCGAGAGAAACGAAAGCTTGAGAAACACTGTACACCCCGCGATAAGCGAAGCATACCCATAAGCAAGCAAAAAGCATCCACCATTCCATTCACCCACGCGACTATAACGTTCCTCCTTACGTATACGCAGCTCATGGCGATTCGATCGGGCATCTTTTAAATCTGCACGGCGTGCATCTGCCACTTTATATAGAAAACACGCGAGAAGCCTCGAGGGTGTTGCCAGAACATGGCGGAAACGCAAGGACCGAGGGAGCTGAGAACTGGTCACGCTCGGTCCTCAAGGTCCTCAAGGTCCGCTTGGAATCCGGCTCTCGAACATTTTCACAAACATGTTTTCTCCGCGGTTGAAAACCTGAACTCCCTACTATACCCTAATATGTATGTATGTATAATCTTCACGGTCGTCTCGCTGTGGCGATCGGCTTGCCAGTTTTCCAAGATAATTCATGGATATTTTACAAAATATGGCACAGGTTCGCAAATGTGTTCGAGATATCGCCTTCTATGTGGGAGATATATTTGCAATTCTGCGTTGCAGAAGACAGTTTGCCGTATCGTTGGAACAGCGGTGTTTGAAGCGAATTTAAAACATTGAAATGGAATTTCAGAGACAAATTTGAAACGTTAGACGAAGTTTATTGAAAACTGTCGGTCTACTGACGATTGGTATTTAAATAAAATTATATTGCAAACTATCTTATGTTTCGTGTATTATTCAATGAAACTTCGTACATTTTATGAATTATTTTGTGCAAACAAAGCATTGAATTTAATTTTATTTATTTATTGTACAAATTGGAACATCGAAATTTGTAAATTACGAAGAAATTAGCGGAATCTTGATTACTTGAACAAACGTAATTCTGTATTTACGAAGCTCGTGATTAATTTTAGCGAGAAATTGCTGTTGTTAATGTAGCGTATCAAAGAAATTGTTTGCAGAACAGTTAACGAGAGGCCAAAAAGAGCATCAGAGTCGCTAATGGGACGCAATCAACGGGATTTTGCAATATATTAACGCGCAAAATTACTATACCTTGACGTCAACATCATTGTGCACTTTATGCCTCCATATTAAACACAAAGCTTATTAGCCGAACATTTCCTTTTACGGATGCATGCAAGAATTCTATTTCCTTCATCTGGTCGCAACGTAAATTTGTTCGAAACATTCTTATTCCATTAGAATCTTTTTTGTTAATTTAATGTTAGGAACAGTACTAAATCTTCTAATCAACTAGATTTACTATATCTGTTCAAAATTATAAAGTATACAAAGCTACTTGTCAAATGATATTTAACGTATAAGTTAATTTTTAACAACGCTTAAGAACTTCGAGATCAAATCACGACGAAACAGAAATGAAAATTTGAAATTCGAATTTATTTGTTTCGAATTCGTTTGTTATAGGTGTTGTCGTGTTGTAGGAAGTTGTTGGCTCCATCACACCTGAACAAACGTCAGGCTAATTACTCGAGTTATATATCCCCGACCCAAATTCGTTGCCATCGCAACGCATTTTGTTAGAGAATCGCCTCGACATTAATATGTATCGATTCCCCATCGTCTATTGTGTCAGAATGAAACTGGACGCCGGGATTTTTTTCTTCGAATTCGTTGCCAGCTGAGACACGCAAGATCCACTTTTTCACTGGCGATACTGTTACCGCTAATCACCCTCGGTTTTGTAACAAATATCTCTCACACTCCTTGTATCCCGCAGCTTTTAAAGAACGTTTCAATTTCCTTTGTTGAATCGATGATTCAGAAGGAGCAATTTGGGTTCGATTGATAGTTAATGTTTCTCGAAATTCTCTTTATTAATCCAGTCTACAATCATCGTTCACCTCGCTGTGGCAGTTTCGACGACCTCGCAACCCGACGACAAAAAGCAAAACCGAGACGTTCAATTTCCATTATTCCAAGGAATAAACAGGAAGGTGCCGTAATCGTAAAGTCAGCCAAAGAAAGAAAGAAAGAAAGAAAGAAAGAGAAACAAAGGGAGAGAGAGAGAGAGAGAGAAAACAAAGAGAACACTAGAAATCGTAAATCGTTCGATCGATGCGCCATGTCCCCTCTCCAACAACTCGCAGCTTGTCATACTTAATCCCACTAACAAGTAATATCCACGAGTTTTCAACTTAACACGTTCACTGCTACAGATACGTTTATAGATATATATATATAATATATATACTCTAACAATATTGTTATCTTCATAGAAAAGAAAACTATCTCTACCTGTCAGTATGTGTCTTATACGTGTGAGTGAGTGAGTGTGTGTATTCGTGTGTATTAAACCTTTACGTCTACGTGTAAACTCTGCTCTATATGGGTTACTGCGAAGCTTCTTTTTCCCCGAAAATTCATATTCGCGATCGTTCGTCGGAAGGAGCCGCGGTGAACGTGTTTCAGCGGATGATCCGGATCCCTATTAGATAACGAGCCGTCCGTAGGCGAGTGCAGGGCCAGCAACAGCAACAACGTCGGCAGACCTGGCCGCCTCGTTCGCCAGGTTCAGCTTCTCGTTGAGGTGGGCGTTCGCGTGGGCAGCCCTGGCCGCGGCCACTTCCGGCGTGTCCTGCACCCTGCCGTCCGGGCCGAGCGGCGCGCCAGGAACCGCCACCGTCAAGGGGACAGCCACCGCTGCTGCGGGGCCAGCGGCGACCAACGTGGCCGACGATCTCGCCGCCTCGTTCGCCAGGTTCACCCTCTCGTTGATCTGAGCGGCCGCGTGGGCCGCTTTCGCCGCCGCCACTTCCGGTGTGTCTTGCACTCTTCCGTCCGGGCCCACCGTGGCCGCCTGCAGCGCCGCTGGCGACACTATCGCGTTCGCCACAACTAGAGATCTGAAATGAGAAATTTCGAAAACTTGTAGAGTCCTAGATTCTTCTCGTTTTTTGGGGAATCTGTTGTGTCTTGAATAGAGAGCACGTACTGTGTTATGAGAATATAAAATTTTAGATTCTAGTCTCTTTTTGCTGATGGGAACGCGTTGTGATTTAAATACAGCACGTACTGTATTATACTGTATTTTACTATACTGTGTACAGCACGTACTGTATTATACTGTGTATTATACTAATACAAAATTTTAGATTCTAGTCTTTTTGCTTTTGGGAACGCGTTGTGTTTTAATTACAGCACGTACTGTATTATACTGTATTTTACTATACTGTGTACAGCACGTACTGTATTATACTGTATTTTATTATACTGTGTATTATACTAATACAAAATTTTAGATTCTAGTCTTTTTGCTTTTGGGAACGTGTTGTGTTTTAAATACAGCACGTACTGTGTTATACTGTGTATACTGTTATTATAACAACACAAAATTTTAGATTCGAGAGTCTTCTTGCTTTTGGGAACACGTTGTGTTTTAAATTCAGCACGTACTGTACTATATTATACTGTGTATACTGTATTATAACAAAATTTTAGATTCTAGAGTCTTCTTGTTTTCGGGAACGTGTTGTGTTTTAAATACAGCACGCACTGTATTTTATTATACTGTGTCCACTGTATTATACCAATACAAAATTTTAGATTCAAGAGTCTTCTTGCTTTTGGGAACACGTTGTGTTTTAAATTCAGCACGTACTGTACTATATTATACTGTGTATACTGTATTATAACAACACAAAATTTTAGATTCTAGTCTTTTTGCTGATGCGAACGTGTTGTGGTTTAAATTCAGCACGTACTGTATTATACTGTATTTTATTATACTGTGTACACTGTATTATACCAATACAAAATTTTAAATTCGAGAATCTTCTTGCTTTTGGGAACACGTTGTGTTTTAAATTCAGCACGTACTGTACTATATTATACTGTGTATACTGTATTATAACAACACAAAATTTTAGATTCTAGTCTTTTTGCTGATGGGAACGTGTTGTGGTTTAAATTCAGCATGTACTGTATTATACTGTATTTTATTATACTGTGTACACTGTATTATATCAATACAAAATTTTAGATTCGAGAGTCTTCTTGCTTTTGGGAACACGTTGTGTTTTAAATGCAGCACATACTGTACTGTATTATAACAACACAAAATTTTAGATTCGAGAGTTTTCTTGTTTTCGGGAACGTGTTGTGTTTTAAATACAGCACGTACTGTACTATATTTTACTATGTATACTGTATTATGACAATACAATATTTTAAATTCTAGGTTTCTCTTGTTTCTCGAAACGTGCTGTATTTTAGCACACTGTATAAAATTTATATTACAATATGAAATACTAGATTGTCGATTCTAGATTATTCTTGTTTCTGGAAATGTGAACAACGGACCGTATAAAAATTACGTTACAGTATAAAATATTAAACTCTTCTTGTTTCTGGGAATTCACATCTCAAATATAGCACACTGTATAAAATTTACAGCACTATATGAAATATTAGATTCGACATAAAATATATTAGATTTTAATACTTAATACGAGACAATATAAAATTTTAGTTTCTAGATTCTAGATTCTTCTTCTTCTTGTGCTGTATTTTAAATACACATTGTATATATTGTAATAATATATTGCAATTATATTCCCCAATACAATAGAGGTAATAGTATTATTCTTGAGGCACAAGTAATATTCTTGATTCTGTACAAAATTTCATTTCATCTAAATTACTTTTTTCAAATTATCGTCAGTAAATGGGAACGTTAAAACGACATTACTATCCGTATATTACTAACTAATTTCCGAAAGTACCTGTTAAGATCGGCAGCGGCGGATCTGGCAGCCTCGTTCGCCAAGCTGGCCCTCTCGTTCGCCTGGGCAGCAGCGTGGGCCGCCTTGGCCACGGCGACTTCCGGCGTGTCTACCACCCTTCCGTCGGGCCCTATGGGTGCGCCGGGTACAAGAAGAGCAGCCGGTGAAGCGATCAGCTGGATCGATTGCGCGCTTACCGACCTGGCAGCCGCGTCGGCCAGCCTCAGTCTCTCGTTCAAATGGGCGGCCGCGTGTTCCGCCTTGGCCACGGCGACTTCCGGAGTGTCGAGGACCCTTCCGTCGGGCCCGACGGCAGCCGTGGATGTCAGAGTGGCGATCAACGGCGCGGACAGCAGCCCCGGCTTGGCCAGGGCCGCAGAAACCAGGCCTGCCAATAGCAAACCGACGACTGGTCCCATGACGGATCGTCTTCTATCGGTGATTCTTCTATCTGGTGAGGTCTGTTCGGTGCTGCTGCTTCCGGCTTCCGAAGAGGCGTCAGGCAACGTGTGTCTCGACGATTGTCTCACCGTTCTCTTCTCCCTCGACTATCGTCGGACCACCGCTCGAGACTATGAGACGCCTCGTCCTAGATCGGCTCTTATATATCTTGAGATGTAGCTGGTATTATACAGTTGGTATTATAGATCACGTAACGAAACGGGGTGGATTTTTCGAGACGGCGGGATCTGGGCCACGACCGGTGTGCGCACATGGCTGTGTTTCCGTGCCCCCCGAGTTAAGCAAGTTAAGCGTGTCTGTAAAACGAGTAACAGGCTCTGCGGGCTAGGCCTAGCCTAGCCTAGCCTAGCCTAGCCTAGCTTAGCCTAGTCGTCGCTCGGCCGAGGAAAAATCGAAGGCTCTCCATTTTCGTTCGAGTCTCGGGATGACACCCGATCCCGTTGTCATTTCTCCCGCGCCTGGCAGCCGAGCCTGGCCATGGACACCAAGGGCGACGCCGGCGAAGGCCGACGATCGCGTAACCACGTTCGTCGACTATCGGTGTACCCGGGCGATAAGCTGTCGCTCGGCTGGATCACGTAGCACGCGGCGATTTTTTTTTTTTTTTTTTTTTCTTTTTTACCGAACGCCGAGCGTTCTACGTGGCTCTCTGTTGCCACGTAAGGGATTTTAAGGTGGTTTTAAGCCGGATGGGTGTGGATTCCTTTGTTTTTGCAATTCGAGTCAGTGGCTAAAGCTGGAATGGGTTGTCTTCTGAGTGTTTCTGAGAGTGTTTGTTGGCTGTAACTTTCGTGAAATTCAGTAGTTATTAATTGAAGTTGAGTATAATTAAATAGACTGTATAAGAGTATTTTTTTTTTATGAGAGATTTAGTATTTTGAAGTATTATATAGTATATTTAGTATTTTGAAGTATTATATAGTATACTTAGTATATATAGTATATAGTATATTTAGTATTTTGAAGTATTACATAGTATATTTAGTATTTGAAGTAGTAATTGGTATTAATAATTAGCAAATTGATATTAACGATTAATATCAAAAGATTGATACTGTAACTGAAATTAGAATTATGAAATAATTGATGAATTAGTATTAGTATAGCTGTTGATAATTAGAAAATTAGTATCAGTAATTAATGTCAAAAAATTAGTATCATCAAAACGTCAAATAAAATGAAACTGTAATATTATAACACTGGCCATTAATACTAGAAATCGATATTTAGTTCAGAGCTATTTTAATTCAAATTTTTCCTACCAAATTCTCATAACGCGCAACTCTCGTCTTTTCAATATTACAAGACTGACATTCACTCGAAATTTGTTCCAAGTTCTGCGAAGTGAAATATTCTATACGCGATATTTAACAAAGCAGAGTAATAGTATTAGAATTTTTTAAGCGAATAACAAACAAGTTCCTGAACGAATAAAGAAGGCATATCATGTTGAATATACTGGGCACGAAATTTCTCAACACATATACACAATGCCTTACATAACGATCTACGAGCCTCCGCCAGAAACGTGACACTGAAACATACTTCTTTTTCTTTTTTTTTTCTTCTTTCCTTCTACAATCCCTTGCATCACTCAATTTCTTATTACTATCCAGCGCCAGTAATCTCCTATTATACCACACAAAAATTCTACTCCGTTTCAACCTGACACGTCGGTACAGTACGATAAAGAATGAAATAATCGAAAATTCATAAAATCGGCAGACGTGTGAAATAATCAAATTTCATGACGTACTGAAATTCACAAAACCAATCTAATCATCTCTAGCGTTTTAATATATTTTAAATTGCAAAAAAGTAATGGAATAAACAGTTCGAAATAGTTGAAATAAATTATTTATTAATAATTACCAATATATAATATTATAAATATATATTATATTATAATAAATATATAATATTAATTAAATAAATTATTTATTAATATTTCCAATATATAATGTTATAAATATATATTGGTAATATTATAATAAATATATAATATTAATAAATAAATTATTTATTAATATTACCAATATAAATTATTTATTAATAATTATTAATAATATAATTAAATTCAAAGTTTGAACCATCACTTTTTTTCAATTGCTTGAATTAATTGCCAATCACCAAAGCAATCTCTTAATTTGGATAAAAATGCAAGTAAACAAAATTATTGTAATAATCTCTTGCGGCTCGATAAATCGAACAAAAATCCTCCCTCTCAACGAGAATCCAATTAAAATTCTCTTCCACAACCAAACACGAAAGCTGTCGATGTGATCTGGTGACCTTAAGAAATACTCCATCAAAACGATAAGAGACAGAAAAGAAGAAAAAAAGGATAATATAAAGAGAAGAAGAAATGAAATATTGGACAACGTGTTGAAGGTCATCGGTTGGAAAAAGACAAATCTCAATCGGGACGTCGATTAGGACGAATGTCAATGTCACGTCTGATTGATTTTATTGGTCAGGGCGTTTCCCATTCGCCTGTTTCTCCCATCGAACGTAACGCGTGCCCCATGGTGCGAAACCTATTCTCCCAGGTGCTATATAAAGGCCAAGGGACGCGGTGGACACCATGAGACCGGATCAAGGCACCTTGCCGAGTACTGTACCTCAGATAGCGTTGCAAGGAGCCCGCGTATCGTTGACGAGATGAAGAGCCTGGTAAGTGTTTTCTCTCCACGTTCGCTTAACCTTGGTTTTTCTCGGTTAGTTTCGCCGTAGATCTTCTACGCTTTGTCGCTGTTTCTGCTTCTGTCGAGTCGTTAGAGAAGACACGCGAGGAATTAAAGGGCAGTCCGTTCGAAACTGAAAGAAAATTCGCAAGCCACGAATTTAGAGAATTTAGAAATTGGTAGATTAGTGGATTTTGAAAATTATGTATGTTTTAGAAGTCAGAAACTAATTGAAGCCAGTGATTCTAGAACCTAGGAATTGAAAAGTAGAACTTAAGTAATTGAAAATTTTGGAAGTGGGAAATTATTAGAAACAAGTGATTTTGGAACTTGGAAATTAGTGAATTAAGAAGAACTATATATAATAATTTAGTAAGTAGAAATTATCAGAAATTGGCAATTTTAGAACTGAGGAATTGATGAACTAGAAATTAGTAAGTAAATTTTAGGAAGCAAGAAATTATAGAAATTATAGAATTATAGCGGATTGGGACAAAATTTATGGAATGAAATATCCGTAGAATTTATAGACTTTATAGAACAAAACATCCTTCTCAATTAAATTTTTACTTCAATAAAATTACCAGTACGGAGGATTGAAAATTAATAAACTTTCTGCACATATTTCATTATTTTCACCGTAGTGCACTCAATTTCAACCGTATCATAAATTTATAAATAAGAACAGTTAACAGTTAATAGTTAAGAGCAGGAAAATTAGAAAAAATACCAGAACAGATGTATCAAAAAATTTAAAAGATTGCACGTTCTCAATAACTGACTCATTATTCTTAGAAAAGAATAGTGTCATATATTTCGCGAGTCATATATTTCTCGTTTCGAGAGATACTTAAAAGCTTACCGTTTGAATGAACGTTTAAGAAAATATTTTTATAGCGCGAAACAAAATATTATTTCTTGTAACATAAGAATTTATTTACTGTGAAATTTTGCCGTGTAAGCTTATAAGGAAATATGATTTTCGAAGCTTGAAATTTCATTTCCAAGCCTAAAGACAACAAGACGATAAGAGGCAACAAATTTTATTGTGAGAAGAATTTAACTCGAACGAAGACACGTATTGCAGCGATTTAATAACTATAATTTCTCCTCTTTCAGATCGTTTTCACCGCTTTGTTGGCAGCAGTGTGCGCCCGTCCGAGCTTGGTGCTGTCACCACAAGTGGCAGCACTGGCGGGGCCCGTTACCATCGCGAGACTGATACCAGGTGCCCCTCTTGGTCTAGATGGCCGAGTGGTCGACACGCCGGAAGTGACACTGGCCAAAGCGGAGCACGCGGCGGCTCACATCAACGAGAGGATCAATTTAGCCAACGAGGCACTGAAATCCGCCGACTTGGTCGCCTACGCGACACCAGTGCTGGCCACGAGAGTGGAGCCACTGGCGGTCGCGGCCAAAATTGTTCCACCAGCTCCTCTGGGGCCTGACGGCCGCGTCGTTGACACGCCGGAAGTCGCTCTGGCCAAGGCAGAACACGCCGCCGCTCACATAAACGAGAAGCTCGAGCACGCTGCCGAGCAAGCAGCGAGAAGCGTCTCCGTGCAGGTTCCGATCGCTCTGTCGTACACCGCGCCGGTGATTCAGAAACTCTTGGTATAAGGATGACACGACTGGCTGGATTGTATGGCCTTTTAGAGACGCTGGTGGAATACTCTCGTTTGTTTCTTTTTTTTTGTACATAATTGAGGGCTGATTGAATAAAGCGATATTTAACCGTGTAACGGAGAATTTTGGTGATTTTGTTTTTTCTTTTTCTTTCTCTTTTTAACCATCTTTTCTTTTCCTCGTTCGAATTTAAAGAAAATTCAGAAAATGTGAAAATTTTTGTGATTCTCTTTAATCCCAAAAATCCCATATACTACTCTGCTGTCTAATTTTCACGTTCAAAGTTCGATAGAATGGCAAAAAAAATCCGTACAGCGAATTTCGAACGATCGTTGTAAAAAGAAGCCTCCGAGCATCAAGATCGTAGTGAATTTAGTTGAAATACATTCAACATTCTCAGGTTTAAATTTTCCTTCCCCATCCGCTGCAAGATGTAAAAATATCTACGAACATTTGTGAAAGTAAAAATCCTCACGCTCTCGTGTGAGACCACGTGCGTTGTTTTATAACATTTTATTTACGAAATTATAGCAACTCGAAGTTCCGACGATTTCCCATCGTCTCGTTCAGTTCGGTGATATTTTTGGTTGTAGAAATTTCCAAAGCGTGTTGCCCCCTTCGTTTGGGAACCGCTGCCTCGACGCCGTTCCTTCGGTCAGGATATCAAAGAATATGAGGCAGTCAAGGTCGCAGTCCGAGCCTTTTCCTGCGCCCACGAAGAGTATTGTCCGTTTCAAGAGACAGAAATAAATTCGATAAGTGGTTTTTAGAGACTACAACGCCGACATGTTGCGATAAAGTCTAGGGCGTCGCGTTTTCAGTTCGTTCGACGTAGCGTTTGAAAATTGTGGAAGAAATTTATCCTGAAACAAAGACTAAATTGACAAAAAAAAATGTTAACAAAATTCTACACTATTTCATAGACGAATTTTGTTAATATTTTTATATTTAGGATATTTAGAACTCTTTATCTTTTGTTAATTAACGACAGTGTGCGATGTTTTATGAAATTTAATCAAGTTAATTTTATTCGCAGAATCTCAAGATAGTGGATAGTTTCGGTATCGAAATTTTCACTTGAAATTAAGTTTTCAAATGTAAATTAAAAAATACATCAATACGTGATGGGTATCCCAGTCTGCAGAACCTCGAAAAGAGTTCAGTGTCCTTCGAAAGTGTTTCAGTACTCGATTCAAAGTCATGAAATCACGGTCGACGAGTTTGTTCCTCAATCACATGTCACTGAAAAAAGACTATTACGACATCTTATCTCGATCGAAAGAGGATTGGTTATTTTATATTTGGTAAATTGACTAGCCACATAATTTGTCCAGTCGTTTCGAAAATATCCTGACAGACAACAGTACACCTCATTATAAATACAAGAGTCTAAATTTTTAAGTTACACTTCGATTGTAAAATGTTTCCAATGACAGATAATTTATTAAAATAATTCTAACAATTTTATGTAGATTTCAATATATGTCATCAATAAAATTTTAATATACTGTTGATGAATAAAGATACCTAATTTTATTACAATTTTAACAATTCTGTTTCATCTTCACTCGAAAGATTTTTTTTAGTAAAATTACTCGAGACGTGTTTGACAACGAAGTATTTTTTCACAGAGATGACCACAAACAATCCATGAGGTAATATCGAAGGGTTTCCCCCCAGTTGATCGAAGAAAAAGAAAAAAAAAAAAAGGAAAAGGGAACGCTGGCTTTCTAATATTATTTGTTACAAAACCGATTTTACAATTGTTGTTTCACCAATTGAAAATTATCTCGGACGATTGTGACACCCGGACAAGCAAACGTTCGCGATTTCCCAATTACACATGCAATAGAGTGACAAAACAATCTTTATAGATCTTTTCTTGCGTTTCGTACTTGTTTCGACACTTTTCGATTCGATCAATTTTATTAACACACTCTTCTAAATTATTCAAACGTTATTTCATAGTTTCTTTGCTAGTAATTTTGTATCTGATGAAAATGACATTGCAATTTTATTTTATTTCGTCTGTATTATTTTAAATGTATTATTTTAAATTATATAATTTTATATTATTTCGTCTGTGTTATTTAATTTTAAATTATATAATTTTATATTATTTCGTCTGTGTTATTTAATTTTAAATTATATAAATTTATATTATTTCGTCTGTGTTATTTAATTTTAAATTATATAATTTTATATTATTTCGTCTGTGTTATTTAATTTTAAATTATATAAATTTATATTATTTCGTCTGTGTTATTTAATTTTAAATTATATAATTTTATATTATTTCGTCTGTGTTATTTAATTTTAAATTATATAAATTTATATTATTTCGTCTGTGTTATTTAATTTTAAATTATATAATTTTATATTATTTCGTCTGTGTTATTTAATTTTAAATTATATAATTTTATATTATTTCGTCTACGTTATTTAATTTTAAATTATATAATTTTATATTATTTCGTCTACGTTATTTAATTTTAAATTATATAGTTTTATATTATTTCGTCTATATTAAATCTCACTTGTTCATTATTTTACATATATATATATATATATATATATATATATATATATATATATATATATATTTTTACATTATTTGTTCTTACAATTCTTCAATTCTTAAATATATATGTAATATCTTCGAAAGTTGAATATCTAAATAACATAAGGTCCAACAACTGCCAGAGTAATAAATTACAATCGTTGACAGTCTTGTTAATTAATTGCTACATTTTTGGGCTGTGAACGCGATGTGAACTTATGCTAATCGGTTTCTTCGATCGTGCAATCGTGCGCTACAACCGCAGTTCGAGAGCGAGTGCAAAAATATTAAAGGAATGCATTCTTGCTGTAGACTGTCCTTCGGCCTCGAGTCCTTCGTTCCTCCAGGGTTGGTAAGTCGTTTAACGCTTTCATACGCTGTGTGCTCAGAGGACAACGAAATACTGGGCGAAAGGAGAAATCAAACAAAACGCAAGGTAGATCTTGACGAGTCTCATTTCGCGAGACGGTACACGCAACTCGACTTGGCTTGTCCATTAAAGCCTCAAATGTGTCGAGAATTTCCTTAGAGAAGAATGCAGAACATGTTAAATTCAAGCTCTTTTTTCTTCGTTTTTCAGAAAACACATCGACTCACATTTTGAATCGCAGTTTGTACAGTGTTCTTCGTTCATTGCTTCTCTCGAGATCAATTAATTAGCCGTGGCGCACGATGAATGATACGCGAATTGAAAGGGAAACATAGAAATTATACAATAATTACGGTATTGAGCGTCTTCTCACAAGCCGTGAAACGTGAAATTATTTCCCATATGTAATTACAGGGAGAAGTGTTCTCGGATGTAACTTCCTCTGTCACGATGTAACCCACTTCTCACGTGATCTACGAATCCCACGTGCTTTCTCAGGTCCCCTGATTGCCAGAAATGAATCTGTCTCCTGGTTGCATTTTCCACACAAATTGGACGACGTCTTCGAGTCACGTCGACGCCAGAAAATTTGTTAAACCTAAACGGAGGTGAATTCGATTGTTTCGTGAATGTGAAACTGGACTTGACTGGGTGATTTATAACTTCGTAATTTTATTGGACACATTTTGTTGATTCGATTAATTGAAGGAATGCATTAACGTTTTGTGCAGATCGTTGGTTTTTAGTTGCAGTAAATTTCATGCTCCTACGGCTTTAATGCTTCCAATAACATGTCTTTTTAACCAATTATACATTCTTCTCCTCGCATTTACATACGTACGTGGTCTTTCAATTGTACACTTAGGTAACCCCACTGATAATTCTATACTTCTACCAGTCCCACGCTGCACACTGTACATTTCTCTCATCCACAAAATATTCTGGATTTCCCAACTGATCCAATTTGTTTTTCTCCTTTTTTTTTATATAACTTGCAAAGCAAATAACAGGACCTCCTAGCCGAATTTTCCACAACTAGATACTCTAAAAATTGTCTGTATCTAAAACTTTTAATTAATTAATAATTACAATTCAATTCTACAGCTGCTCCAACACTTCCAGGCCCAGCTCTATGCTAAACTTTATTTAATTGTATCTCAGCCAACTGAATCTTCTGAACAATATATCCAAAACCTACATCCTTTCTTAATTGTAATTCAATTTATAATTGCTCTAACATTTACCTACGTCAAATTGTATTCATCATGTCGCAACCAATTCAGCTTTTTCATAACAATCTAAATTTAATACTTTAATTGATACCTAATTCTTAATTATAGTTAGTCTTCTACCCTAATTCTTAATTATAGTTAGTCTTCTGCCAATCTATATATATATATATATATATTTTAATACTTCGTAACTAGATATACCAAATCCAATATACCAAATGCCAAATTTTATTCACTCTATCGCAACCAATTGACGTAAATCCCTAATTTCTAATCACAACCTAACCCAATAATTAATTCTTAATCATAATCTGTACAAACTACAGGATGGTTACTGAAAGACTAAATGATATGAAACAAAGACAACTTTTTACAAACACACGTTTTTTCAATTTTTTATCACTTTAATTGGAAATATAATTAATGGATTCTTTTCAGTGTTACGTCTAAAAAAAAAAAAACAATAAATGAACAAGTTGTGACTTTTTCAACAACCTGTTACAGTTTTTCAGCGGCCACCCTGTACATCCCATCGAACGCAATCCAATTGAAACACAATTCCCGATGCAGGCTCGACCGTTCGATACGACTGTTCTAATTGATTTTCAGTTTCGCAAGATCTGACCCAGACCTAGAGGGAACCAGATCGAATCTCCACTGGCGATCTCCCGAATGACGATCCGCCGGTGTGCCATCCTTCCGGGGATATGGAAGAGTGCAGGGACCCCGTTGAAATGCCAAGGTCCTGCCAGCCAGACCGACGAAGTTGACCGAAAGGAGGGAGTGTCCTTTTTCCTGGCGCGCTTCCCAGGCTACGTGGGCTAGCTCCGATCACCTCCCTGGCTCCCTCCAGGTCGTGGCCAACCGTGGTCCACGTGGGAGGGGGCGGATGATCACTGCTATAAATGCTACCAACGGCCGTTCTCCAGGAACACAAAACGTCGGGCCGGGTTTGGTTCACCGTGGCTGGGATAGGAAGCAAGCGAGTACTGGCCACCAGCAGCGCTTTTTCGTAAAAGAAAGGGGAGAGACACGCGCGTATACACGTAGCACGCGAGGAGAGGGACTCAAGAGATAGAAGGAGAGATCATGAGGGGATTGGTAAGTGTTCTGGTTGAACGAGTGGGCACGGACAAAGGAAAGTGAAAGGTTAGGGTAGACCAGGTCAGTGGTGCTGCCCACCCGGAGCTGCAGTTCACTCGGTTTTCAATCGACAAGCTCAGCAATTTAGAAATTTGGCAACTTCCCTTTGGAATCAAGGGAATTCAGGAATTTAGGAAAATTTAAATTATCAGGGGACTTATCAGAAGCTAAGAACTTGAGAAATCTTGAGGGAATTGGAGAGTTTGGGAACTTGGGAATATAGGAAATTTTCAGAAATTCCTGGATTCCTAAATTTCGATGTTCTCAAGTTCCCAAATCTCTAACTTCTCTCAAATTCTTGAATTCCTGAGCCGCTGAATTTCCAAGTTTCGCCGAAATTTCGACGTTCCCGAGTCCCTGAATTCTGAATGTTCCCGAATTTCTAAATGTTCAAATTCTCCAACTTCTCCCGAAGCTCCTAAAATTCTAAATTCCCAAGTGTCCGAGCTCTTGTATTCCCTAATTTCTAAATGTTCAAAATTTCTCAAATCCTTGAACTCTAAAATGAAACAACACTCAGAATTAAAATCAAATAGAGACTGCTATTTGCAACAAGTGCCAACTTCTGATTTCTAAACTATTCTCCAACATGTTTTCTTTTCCTTTTCTTTTTTTTTTTTTTCTTCCTTTGAAATTTCTCTGACATTTCTGCTTCGTTTCAGATCGTCATCTTGATCGTCACAGTGACGAGCTGCAGAGCCGGTTTCCTTGGTGGACCACCACCCTCTTACGGTGAGCCTCAGCTGCACTCTCAACCAGCACCTCAGAGGTACGCGCCTCCAGCACCGGTTGGCCAAGATGGCAACGTGATCGACACGCCGGAAGTCGCCGAGGCGAAGGCCGCACACTTCGCGGAATTCGCAAGAGCGGCGGCCAGAGCGGCGGAGGAGAGCAAAAATCAACCGCAATCGGTCGACTACAATCAACTACCGGCCCAGACGTACAACTACCCCTCGGTGCAACCCACTCAACCCACTTACCTCAGACAGCAGAGTTATCAGTCCCCTGCGCCCATTTATCATTCTGCTCCAGGTAAAATATTGATACTGGTGGTACTGTACGTTGTATTGTACATTGGACAGTTTGGACATTTAGGGATTATCGACACTTAAGGATTTCGAGACGAAGGAATTTGGCAATTTGGCAATTTAGGAATTGAGGAAAAACTGGAATTGAAGAATTTGGGAATCAACGAATGTGGGAATTTGAGAATTTAGGAAATCGGGAATTTGCAAATTTAGGAATCTACGAATGTAGGAATTTGAGAATTTAGGAAATTGGGAATTTGCAAATTTAGGAATCTAAGAATGTAGGAATTCGAGAATTTAGAAAATTGGGAATTTTGCAACTTTGGGAATTTAAGAGAACTGGAATTTAGGGATCCAGAAAGGTAGGAAGCTAGGGATTTGGTAACCTAAAAATTTAGTGATCTAGGAATTTAGCAAAATTTGGAAATTTGAGAATTTAGGAAAACTTGGAATTAAAGAATTTAGAAATTTAGGAAGCTGGAAATCTGGGAATTTGGAATTCTAAGAATAAAACTTTAAGAAATCTAGAAATCTAAGAATTTCCAAATTTAGGAATTCACGAATTTAGGAATTTACAAATTCAGGAATCTAGGAAATTTGGGAATTTAGGAAATTTAGAAATCTACAGATCTGGACATTTATTAAGAATTTTGGAAAATTGTAAATCTAGAACTTTAGAAACTTGAGAATTTAGGAATCTAGGAACTGAAGAATTTGGAAACTTGGGAGTTCAGAAAACATGTAAATCTAAAAATTTCTTCGGGTTCGAAGAGAACTTGGAAATTCAGAAATTTAGAAATTCACAAATTTAAGAATTACAATATTTAGGGACGCATTCTCAATCTTTCTCGAACACGGTGCACTTACGAAACGGGAAAAGCAAATTCGCAAAAATTTCAGTTCCAGCGCCATCGTACAATCAGCCTAATCCAGTGGCGTACCAGCCGCACTACGCCAGAAATACAAACTACGTTGGCCCGCAAAGTTACGCCGCTCCGAGTGTGAAACCTACCCCGTTCGTTCCAGCGCCTCTCGCTGAGGATGGGACGGTAATCGATACACCGGAAGTGGCTGCTCTTAAGGCCGCCAGGTTGGCCGAGCTGGCCGAGGCCGAAGCCAGAGCGTATAAGTTCGCCCAGGAATACAAAGCGGAACTCGGAGGTCAAGGTACGTTCACACCGAACGATCCCGCGATTCGAGGAAGTCCAATTATAAGTTCAATTATGCAAGAAATATAATTGGATTGTTATTTTTAATTGCCAGTCCGTGTTCTCGAAAGTTTAATCGTTTCGTTGAAAGAACGACGTCAATACCGGCTTCAATACATAAATGACTAGACTCAGTTTTCACTCAGTTACGTAAGCCAGACCATTATGTAAAACAGTCGGACAATGCAACGTGAGAACGAGTTTTGGGAACGAGAATGAAAACGATTGAAACGGCGAATCGAATAACTGGCTGAAAATGGGGGAAATGATACAAATCTGAGGCATGCGAACATAATGTCTACGTGTATTGCAGAATTGAAAGAAGCGTCGCGTATAGTAGAATAATTTTTCATAATAACGTCTTCATTCTTTAATTTAATTTACAATGTACGAACAGATTCAGTTCACGAACTGAAGTAATTCGTAGTGATAGTTGAATAACTTGTTATTTAAAATCGTCTTGACATTAATTTGACTTAAAATTAAAAGCAAAAAAAAAAAGAAGAACCTTTCGATTCTTGCGGCAAAGTATTTTCTGCAAATGAAATCAGAGATTGAACCATCGAACTCTGACCGGTTATAAATAAATACACTCGTAACTGTGATGTGATGCAATTTGAGATGCAAGCGATTGCCCAACAACATAATCGCTCGATTGTTCACTGTGAGAATGGCCTGTATCGCCGCTAATCGTTACGAATATAATCGTGACCCGGCCATTTCTCCTCTGGAATATCAAATACGGCGAGCTCGCCGGCGAGTTTCACCCGAGTTGTTCGCAATTTGAACTTTGCAACAAAATCTAACATGCTGAATTAATCGAACATCTGTCATTTTTTTTCGAAAGACACGAACGAACTTTAGTTTCGCTGCAAGATTAACTTTTTTAACAATTTTCCACTGGATTACTTTCAAACTCGATTCATTTCAATTTCATATATTCCTTTTTTTTTTTTATTAATTATTCTCATTTCTGTGCAATTGTTTCAAGATTCATTTTAAAATTAACTATTCGTTTACAATTGACAGAGCAATCTTCGATTAAATGAGAATTAATTTTTGATGAAATTTCATTCTTTTTTGTTAGCTATAAGTCAGAAAGTGTTTTTTTTTTTTTTTTTTAGATTTTCATTGAAAGCAACAAGCCACTTTTAATTGAAGATAATTTTTATTATCTTGATTTCGTTAAACGGGCGCCTATACTACTTAATAAGGAAGGGGAAAGGTTAGATTGGAACCGGTTCCTGTTATCCCGATTCATTCGACTGCCACTCTCCAAAGCAAATTGGAACTGATTAAATTACTCGTGTGAATAAATCATCGAGAGGAATTTTAAATTTCCTTGACACGCACACAGACACACACACATTTCATTTTGATCTTCTTTCTCAGCCTTGATTTAATTACTACTATTTGCATTATTTGTTAACTGGATAATTGACAACTGAAAATATAGTAACAATATCGAAATTTAATGTCATTGAAAAACATAATCTAATTTGAATTCGATTTGCTGTAATAATTTTTGCATAATCATTCTCATTCGTATCAGAAGAATGACAGATCTGTTCGATATTTATACAATTTAGTATCTTTAGAAGATTTCGAAATTTTTCAACTTCCCCTCTTACATTTTTTTCTTAATTTTGCAATTTTACTTATGTTGGACAGCTGGAGAAGAATTAGTTGGAGAAGAATGTTTGATCTAAGTGTCAAGTATATCGTTCTCCATACGATGTAAAGTTAGAAGAAAGAACATTTTATTTACAGTAATTTGATACTCTCTCAATAGTTAACAATCTGAATGAAAAGTTTGGAGGAAATTCAACGAATAATTTTCATGATTTCGCGTCAGTTTTAATTTGTCAATTTATTTCAGCTTATGCTGGCCCGGCAGCAGCTCCATACAGCGGTCAATACAATGCTCCAGCTGCGCGAGTATTTTCTGGTGCAGCAGCTTCGTATCCAACTCAGGCCCAATCACCGTTTGGCAAGCCTGCTTTCCAACCCCAGAATTATCAGCCGCAGCAGTTAGTCGGGGCTTACTAAATTCGATATCACGACGCATCTGTACATAATTTAGGCGAATAAATTATTTCCCTTCCTTTTTCTCTCTTTGAAACTTGCCATTTCCCATTCCCATTCCATTTAGTTCGTTCGCTTGCATTTTATTTCAGTGTGATAATCAATTTTTTTTTTTTTTTTTAATTTTTCCCAAGTTTAAACGTAGTGAAGATAATGGCGAAATTATAGAAACAAATATTAATTGTAGAAGATCGATGATAAATATTCACAAATTTCCAAACATTTCTTAAACGCGATGATTTAGGATTTCCTAATAATTGTTTTTAATAGATTTTAGGTATTTTGAAGTGTTTTCGAAGTTTCAGAGATTCTATTGAAATTTCTAGAAAATTTTGTGTTTCGCTGCTTTTAGAAAAAAAAGACATAGCTAAAAATTTCAAAATTTCTCTTCCGATAATATTTTGCTTCGCGAAGTAATCGTAGTGATGAAAAAAATGATACGCCAAATAACATTTCAATCTACAATTTGCGACAGAAACTTCTGCAAATGAAATGTCTAAAATCCATCATGGTCTACGGACAATAACTAAGATCTGTAATAAAAATATCGCATGTTTTTTACCGTTGAATTTAAAATTTAATTTGAATCAAAAGAAAAAAATTTTGAAAAATTCAAGTCTTCAAATTTCAGAATCGTCCGATTCGATGGATCTTCGTCATTTAGGTTAACGCGCAATTCTCCACCGAGGAGCTACCAAATCAACGCGACGAACGAATTACCAAGGAGCGTAAGTATTACTTACATTAGTCGTCAGAAACCACGGGTTAACCTACATTCGATCTCTCTGTCTATTGTGGTTAGCATAATCCAAGAATTGGAGAGATGTCCTCGTCTATCGATTCCTGGGTAAGCGAGAACATCTCTTCATGGCCATTTAACATTGATTTTTCCGTCTTTGTGTCATTATATCAAATGCACAGATTAAAGAATTGCATGGATCAAACAATATTATATATAATATATTATAACATCAAATATTATATTATTATATTAAAAAGTATATTGAATGTATGATACAGTATATTACAATATTAAAAAAGTATTTTTTCTTAATTAAAAAAAGTATTTTTCTTGAAATCTTCATGTTACCTTTAAGTGTTTCGAGTAGGACTGAAGACAAAAGTATCACCGGGGAATAAAAAGAAATTTTACGGTCGAGTACTATCGCAACGATTCCGTGCTCATGATTTCACGCGACAAAAAAGTTTCGTCGTTAGATGAAAAAAAATCGATTCGCTTGACTGACCAACAAGAATGTGAACACGTTATCATCATTTTCCGAGCCTCGAGCAACAAATTCTACGCCGAACCGTGACAATTTGTCAGTTTTTTTTCGAATTTATTTCGAAAAATTCGTGTTTCTTTCTTCTTAAGCCTCAAACGATCCAAAATTGAAAGTGAAGTAAATTTGGATAAACGAAATTTTCGAGTTTCAGCGAGGCAAAATTTTTTTTTTTTTTTTTTTGATCGAAGCAAAGCGTAATCGAGAGTTGTACAACTTTCCTGAAAGAGGATTACCTAGTCTAGTTACTTCAGATCGTAATTCTTGCGACATAGGTCACACCGGTGTACGAAACACGTGAGAGCAAACGAATCGGGGAGAGAAACGTGGATTCTCAACCAAGTTTGCATCGTGATTCGTCGTGTTTCGCAAAGGAGTTGAAAATTATAAAGGAGAGTTCCTCCGGTTCAAACACGCGCAAACATGTTACATCGTTGATTAATCGTCGTTGAAATTAATTTTGTATAATTTCGAAGCGACGACTAATTAAAGTTTGAAGATTAGGAAACGAAAATAAATGCAGATTAATCGTTGAAACTAAATTTGACGTGATACGAAGCGATTGAAGATGTGTAGTTTCAGCCAAAGGTGATCTAATCAGGTGGTGCGCCCCGCGCTCTCGTTGCTTGCTGAAAGACCCAGTTTGCGTAAAAGTTTGCGCAACTTGTTTCGACGGAGTTATCGACCGAATTATATCGTGTTACGGTGTAAACAGGGAATCTGAATCGACGTTAATTAACCAAACGGGGTCAGCATTCTAATTTACTTGCTCGTGTAATGTGTAATTATTACACGAGCGAACTGCGCTGCTGTTGCGGACAATTCAGCGTGAACATTGATCACGGTTCGCCGTTAATGGAAAATTAGAAACGCGACTTGTCATCGTTCAAACGAGGCGTTCAAAATTTATCACCAGAAAAGAAAGAAAGAAGAAACAAAAAAGAAATATTCGAATTAATCGAACAAATTAATTCTTGCCTTACTCTTCGAATTCTCACAGGTTATATCTACATTTTAAATATTGGTTTCTCATTTCTCAACATTTTTCAATTTCAGCTTCGATCGATTTAATTTTCCAATTAAAGAAAAGTATTGCCAATTTCTTCACACATTTCTGAGACGAGGTACATTACAAATGATTTCGAGCTACGTCGTCCCTGAATTTCTAAATTTCGCACTAGTGCGATTAATCGATAAGATTAGGTAAAATTGCTTCACTTCGCTCGTTCGTAAAGTTACAAGTATGAGACTTTTTTTACGCAAATTGCACGGGGAAGAACTGCAAAACTGTTGAATGAAATGATAAAAAATTAGAATAATAACAAGTAGTGATAGAAATTAAATGACAAAGAGTAAAATTTACATTGAGGTGTTATTATATACTTGGAAGAAAAAAAAGTAGAAAAAGTATTCTGAAAGAGGATCTTTCACGAGAAAGAATCAGAACTTAAATCTATCGTGAACAGGCTGTTACTCTGATCCTCTGATAAAACGCTGTGTCTATAAAATTGGGCCCTTCTCTGTTACGAACGAGCCTAATTCTGTTCGGTAGATATTAGCAGACGGACATCGAGGAGCAGTTTGGAGTCAGGCTGTATCTGGGCCATCGTTTATAAGGGAACGGGAGCTCATCGTCGAAAGATGACTGCCTTGAAGGGATCACTGCATCACTAGGAGGATCTATGATCCAATCCAGTCGTCCGTGAATCGGCCACCTCTCGGAAACCACAGAAAAGTTTCTGCCTGTGTTAGCTCTGCGGCATATTGCAACGCGTGAAAACTGACCTCGAAAAGTCGAGACGAAACATCAGGGACGTTCGCGAGATCTGCATCATCGTCTCTTTCGTTATTTTTCTCGAGTATTTTCAAACTCGAAATTTTCCCACCGTGGCTCCGGAATGTTCGATACTCTGCGATACTTTTAACTCCGAGACGTTTCACACCCTGATATTTTATCCTGGAATTATATAATACTGCGACAAAGCTGAAGAGAAAGAGGCTCAAACAGTTTTGAAGGTTGAAGTGAAATTAGATATTTTAAAGTTAAAAATTCCTTCGTCATTTTCCTAATTCTCTCTTTCTGTCAAAGAAACCTCTGTTCGTTCTGCATTTATATCTGCGATATACTTCGCCGTCTCGGCTTCAAAACATTTCTACTTGCACACGAATCCAACAGAAACGTACGTCTCGCGATCAGCGAGAAAACAATTAAGGTATCGTTTTTCGTCTCTGGTGTTGATCATCGTAACGTGGTTTCCTCGCACGGTAGCCGCGACGCTATAAAAGCTAGATCGACCGATCCGACTAGCCACACTCGCAATCGAGACGTCCGTTTCGTGGTCGGTGGTGTCCAGCAGCATGAGCTTGCTCGTAAGTGGGACCACGTTTTTTCCAAGTCCGAAAGAGAAACATTGTTTCGTGCAAGTTTTAAGTTGACAGACGAGGGTCGAAACGAAAAAGAATCCATTGGCCGAGATTTCGTACTTGGAGAGAGTCTTTTAAAATCGACGAAGGTTTCTTCCGAGGAAACAAATTTAAAAACCCTCCATCCACTTTTCCCGACAACCTTGTGAAATTCGAATTTCCCTTATCCCTCGTCACTCCGATTGGAAAAATTCTTTAAACATTCTTTGCACCGACCGGTGAAAATTAGTAAATCGTTTCTAGCTCGTTTCCAGTGGACGAGATTAAGAGTTTCAAAATATTTCAAACGTTGCATTTTGAATTACTTTCGCTCTCCCTCTCTCTCTCTCTCTCTCTCTCTCGTAATTAAAAATTAATCTTCCTTGTCTCACATTCGTCTCTCAACATTTCTCTCAACTATTAATGCGTCAGACACGTATTTCATCGAGGTTCAATTTTCAGGGGGGGGAATAGGATTTTAACAGAACGCGGCGTAATCCTTGGTTGCGCTTTTTTCAGATAGTTCTGGCCGCATTGGTGGCGTCGACGATCGCCGAGCCATACGAGGACAGGGAATACTACCAATACAAAGGACCACTGGCGCCATTGACCAGCGATGGGATGGTGATGGACACGCCGGAAGTGGCCCACGCGAGGGCTGCACATTTGGCGTTGCACGCCGAGACTATGGCCAGATTGAGGAAAATGGCTCAGAACGATTACGAGATGTACGAGAACAACGAGATGTCGTACGTGCCGCAGACGACGATGGATCCCATGGCGGTTGTGGCGCAGAAACGACAGAGACAGAGGACGTACCCTCCGGAGGAGGAGGAAGAGGAGGACGCACCCTCCGAAGAGGCCTGCAAAACGTGCGACCCGCCCGAGGTAAATTAGACTGTCTTCAATTTGAAAGGAAAGATTTTAATTCGAAAAAAAAGAGAGAGAGAGAGAAAGAGGAAATCAAAAGCAGCAGGAATTATAGTTCGACGATTTTTAGAAAGCGAAGAGGGGATCTCAGCTGGAGAATTTCGAAGAATCAAAGGTTAAGGGTGATCTTTAAAATCCAGAAACTAGGAGTATTTATTAATCTAAATTGTTAACTGATATGTTCTTTTCTCGGCTGGAGAGTTTCGAACGCGAAAGTTTAAGAAACTGAAAATTAAAAAGGGAAGATGGATGATTAGTTTAGAATCTAGAAACTAGGAGTTTCTCGTTTCTCTTGGAGTAAGGCCAATTTTGAAGGCCACAAGGAAACTTCAAAATTATTAATTAACAAGTCTTCTTTCCGAGAATCTCGAACAATTGAACGAAGGTGCAAGTTCAAGAGGCTGAGAAGGAAATTTAGAAAAATTGAGAGCTTTTTATTTTTCTCTCTCGAGTAGTGAAATAACTTTACAAGCTTTCTCTCCTTTAAATCCCTCTTGCCTAGTGTCGGTTTCTTCTCGTTTGTTTCAAGATGACGGAAGCGAAGAGCCCGCGCTTAGCCACGCACGCGCGATCAGCCTCAAAGGCGTCCGAGTTTTACGAATTCGACATTTTTGACGGTCGAAGGAACTTGGTGTATCTCGCCCCTGTCCGAGTGACCTACAAACACGCTCCAGCGATGGGTTACCGAGGGCCGTTGGCTCCACTGGGACCGGACGGTCGTGTGATAGACACGCCGGAAGTAACAAGGGCACGCGAAGCGCACATGAAAGCTCACGCTCGCGCTGTAGCGCTCTCGACGCAAAACGATCTTTACTATTGAAAAAACCAACGGAAACGAAATTTCCCTTTGTTAATTCAATGATATTTCGGTAAACAGGCACGTACGATACTTTGAGCAAGCAATTTTTATACATTTCATTCGAAATTTGCAGTGTAGAAGAAACTTGAGAGTCCGAGAGTTTAAAAAAAAATTCCCATCAGGGGAATTTAGTAACGAAAATTGTTGATAACTCGAGATACTAATAACAGATAGTTTCGTTGATAGTTTCGAGAAACTAATAACAGAAGGGAAATTTTATTAATTATATTATTAATAATTTTATTAATTATATTTAATAATATTAATTTTAAATTACGTTCTCTTTATACATTTCATTCGAAATTTGCAGTGTGAAAGAAACTTGATAGTCCGAGATTTTTAAAAATATTCCCATCAGGAGAATTTAGTAACGAAAATTCTTGACAATTCGATACTTTCGAGAAACTAATAACAGAAGGAAAATTTTATGAATTATATTATTAATAATTTTATTAATTATATTCAATAATATTAATTTTAAATTACGTTCTCTTTATACATTTCATTCGAAATTTGCAGTGTGAAAGAAACTTGATAGTCCGAGATTTTTAAAAATATTCCCATCAGGAGAATTTAGTAACGAAAATTCTTGACAATTCGATACTTTCGAGAAACTAATAACAGATGGAAAATTTTATGAATTATATTATTAATAATTTTATTAATTATATTCAATAATATTAATTTTAAATTACGTTCTTTTTATACATTTCATTCGAAATTTGCAGTGTGAAAGAAACTTGATAGTCCGAGATTTTTAAAAATATTCCCATCAGGAGAATTTAGTAACGAAAATTCTTGACAATTCGATACTTTCGAGAAACTAATAACAGATGGAAAATTTTATTAATTATATTATTAATAATTTTATTAATTATATTTAATAATATTAATTTTAAATTACGTTCTTTTTATACATTTCATTCAAAATTTGCAGTGTGAAAGAAACTTAATAGTCCGAGATTTTTAAAAAAAAATTCCCATCAGGGGAATTTAGTAACAAAAATTGTTGATAACTCGATAGTTTCAAGAAACTAATAACAGAAGGGAAATTTTATTAATTATATTATTAATAATTTTATTAATTATATTTAATAATATTAATTTTAAATTACGTTCTCTTTATACATTTCATTCAAAATTTGCAGTGTGAAAGAAACTTGATAGTCAGAGATTTTAAAAAAAGTTCCCATCAGGAGAATTTAGTAACGAAAATTCTTGACAACTCGATACTTTCGAGAAACTAATAACAGAAGGGAAATTTTATTAATTATATTATTAATAATTTTATTAATTATATTTAATAATATTAATTTTAAATTACGTTCTCTTTATACATTTCATTCAAAATTTGCAGTGTGAAAGAAACTTGATAGTCAGAGATTTTAAAAAAAGTTCCCATCAGGAGAATTTAGTAACGAAAATTCTTGACAACTCGATACTTTCGAGAAACTAATAACAGAAGGGAAATTTTATTAATTATATTATTAATAATTTTATTAATTATATTTAATAATATTAATTTTAAATTACGTTCTCTTTATACATTTCATTCAAAATTTGCAGTGTGAAAGAAACTTAATAGTCCGAGATTTTTAAAAAAAAATTCCCATCAGGGGAATTTAGTAACGAAAATTGTTGACAACTTGATAGCTTCGAGAAACTAATAACAGAAGGGAAATTTTAAATTACGTTCTCTTGCGTAGGATGTTGTACTTATATGTATATTTTATAGTTTCGATATATTTCAGAATTCCTTCGATTTCTTTATTTCTGAAAATTTAAAATTACGATCGCACGTTTACCCAAATTGTCATCGGATTTGTTCTATAAATTATATACAATTTTCGCTCGATCACGAAAATTGCGCGACTCTCGATTTGATTCGATTCGATTTTCAAGTCAAACTGTTCGTATCTGTCCAGCGAGAACATCATGTGATGTAACTTTCTTTGCAGCAATGAGAGCACAGTTTATATCGTACCTGACTTCTTTTCTCGTGTCGACAGTTTGACAAAGGAAGCAATCTCCCACACTTTCTGTAAATAATAATGTTACCTACAGCCCACTTTGTATCGCGCGTGTGTAATATTGTTTCAGCTACTTTATTGTAATACATAAAATAATCAGTTTGCCCCTTGTTAACATGCCGTTGCTGCAGCCGGAATTTCTAGAGTCATGCAGTCTAGATTCTAAGCTATAAACGATAATTTATGATAGTCGTAGTATATTAAGCGTACTTTCGCGAAACCGAATGCCTTTTCTCGCCACCGATGTGTATTCTGTATTTTTTATTATCGTCTTTGCTGTGAAATTAAAATACGAATGTGGTTCTGGTGCCTTCTATCCCTTTATTTCACTCAACCCTTGACTGTGGCTTTTTCGCGGGCTACGAACTACGTGCATTTTGTAAATTTTTGGAGCCGCCCACAAATTACCTCTATGAGTTTTTTTATAGGCAAATTAGATTTTATATTAGGATTTTTTTTTTGTACACTATACAAGTTCATTTTCATCAGGAATTAGAATATAGAATATCGGTTAAGGACACGAAATTAGAACATAGGATATAGAAAATAGAATATGAGACGTGAGACGTGGGACGTAGGATGTAAAATATTGTCTAGAATTTAGTATACAGGGTGTTTCATAACTTGTGGGACCCACGTCGGTAGTTTTTCGATTGTACGCCTAAAAATAATGAACAAAAACCCTGGAGCCCTCTATAAATGCAAAAAATATAAATACTCGCTTCAAATTTAGAAATGCAAATACGAATAATGAAATGAAAATTAATAAACGAATAATAAAATGAAGATTAACAAGCGAATATCGACGAAACTTATATAAAACAAATATAGTAAAATAAAATATATAAAACAAATATAATAAAATGATATAAAACAAATATAAAATAATATAATATAAAACAAATATAATAAAATAAAAGTTAATCAACGAAGGCGAGAAATAGCTGAAGAAAATCTCACCGAGAGTCCACGATTGATGACAAAATCGCATGAAATACGATTCCTACGTGTAAAATTCGACCGACTCCGCCCCGAAATTTCCAAAGTTCACGGAGTTCAACACCGTAACAACATAATCACGGATTCCGGTTAATGTCAGGGAACTCTTATCGTATATAGAATTCGCGTTATGCAAGATGCATAACAGCGCATGCAGGCCAAGCACTGGGAGTGCTCTTTCTTTTGATTTCTCATTGGACGACGCCCACCGTACCTGCTTGCTTATTTACCTACATTCGAGCATGAGTAATCCAACACGCTGTAATCGTAGTGTGGGATGACAGAATAAGAGCGTGGTGTATGCCCACGTGACTTATTAGAGAAAATTACATCTCCTTTCTTTCGCGATTACTTTGAACAGCTAGAATCCTCGGCGACTACCATTCCTTGTGTCCAGAAATCGGATCAGAATTGTCCAAAAATAATGTAAAAATGAAAGTGAAAGGTGCGATTTACGATATGGAGGACTTTCTACTGTTTTATCCTGTCATTAATTCTATTGCTCTATTATTTCTATTCTGTTCTACTATTACTACATTCTATTTTCTATTAATTTTGTGTCCAAAATAGACAATTATTTACTTACTATATATATTATTATTTTTATTACAATAAAATTCATAAATTATTAACTGATAATATAAATTTAACCGCTCTTGCTGGCACTTTAATTTATCATTATTAATTTTAATTTCCCTATTTAATTTTCATTAAATTATATAGAATATTTTATTAATTTTATTTTATATATATATATATAAAATTATTAACTTATAATTTAAATTTAACCGCTCCTGCTGGCACTTTAATTTATCATTATTAATTTTAATTCCCCTATTTAATTTTCATTAAATTATATAGAATTTTTTATTAATTTTATTTTATATATATATATATATATATATATATATATATATATATATTTAATATAAATAAATTATATGTAAAATATTAATTTAATTAATAATTTAACCACAATTATGTTTCATTTATATTATTAATATTAATAATTCATTTAAAATCGAAATTTAATATACAATTCACATTAAATATAATTAAATGTTAAATTTTTTATTTCATTTACATGACATACGAATATAAGAGAAAATTCTCGCCCCTCTGGGAAGTGTTAGCTGGTAAATTAAAAGTCTCACAATCTTCCCAAACGACAGCAAAGTCAAGTTACGAAACTCCACCGTGTCTTTACACGATCACAGGTGCATCGAAACGACCGAACGATCAATGTAAATCTCGTTGAGGAACGAGAACTGTCGTGGCGACTTTTCCGTCCCTAAAAACCTAATGCATTCCTCGTCAAGCTCGAACGAACACGTCCTTGCTGGCACCAGCGTCTGGGATAAACGTTGGCCGAGTCACGGACGGAACCGGTTGCCCCGTTGGATAACTGGAAGGCGAATTGTGCCTACCGATCAGGTAGCTAGCAAACAGGGACGCCGTTTGTTTCGTCGATCGTTTTCTAGATCTGGATCATTGGTGCATGGTTATCGGAACGATCGCGCGTAATTGACCGTTTAAGCACTGAGCTGGAATATTGAAATGGACGGCTGCCCGCTGAGGGAAGTGAACGTTTGAAGCGTGGAAGGTCGAGAGATCTGCTCGTTCCCTCTAGCCAAAGGATTAGGCTAGACCGTTCGGAACCGATCGACTTTTCACCGTGTTACGGCGTGAATTACGGGTCAGTGGGTATCGAGTTTGATGATTGGACGGCAGGAAAACGATGAATCAAAAGATTGAATCCATTTGAATTTGAGAAACTAACGCTGGAAAGTGTAACAGTTGTAGGTACCATTGTAAATTAATATTCGAGGAATTAGAACTTTATTTTAATAATCTTCTCGTTTGCATTTCGAAGGCCGGTTGCACGTGAATTATGGGTCAGTGGGTGTCGAATTGAAGTTGGACGATTGAAATTAACACTCAAGGAACTAGAGTCGTTGTTATTTTTCCATTTGTTACTAAATATCATTGTCATTTGCTCGAAGAGTAATGATCCTATTAATTCCAATTAGAGAAATGGATTTCATATCACCTCAAATCCTCTGAAACGATGTAATTTCCATTTCAATGTTAAATTAACAAATCGAATTCAACGAACATCTTTCGAAATGTTGCATATTTTTCAAAGACCGGCAAATCACTTTTCGTCCTGGCGCGCGGAGAGTTTGCCTTTAAAGTCCTGAATAAACTAATCGACGCCCGTTTTCACGCCCATGTACACGTGTCGGATCGCTCGGTGCAATCAGATTCGCGTGCAGTCGCTCCAACTCTTAACTCGATTTTCACTGTCGTGTGTGTTGCCGAGATCAGTCTGATCCGTGTCACGGGCATGTTAGTCGAGCACACGTGCCCGTTTCCCTGATCGTACGTTCGATTATGTCAGTGGCGCGCAAGAGCTACTAACCCCTTTGCTGCCATTTTATGCCATTTTATGAACCAATTAAATGACTAATTTCCTCCTTTTTTTTTAAGAAAAAAGAAAAAATAGAGCATTTGAAAGTGTCTATTCTTTTCAAGAGTTTCGATTCTTCTCCGATTGCTTTCAGTTGTTAACGTTTTAACGTTTGGTAACTGTTTTACGTTCCAATGATTAATTATAGAACTTGCGAACTGTCTCGTAATTAGTTAATTTCATTTTTTATGAATTGAGAACATTGTCTTGTGATTGAACGATTGACTTCTCTCTAGTTTGCTGTTTTACGTTTAGATAATTTCTTTTTAAAATTCGTCTGTCGTTAAATTACACAGTGCTTCCGATTTCACTGAATATCCAATGAACCATCTGAAAACGTACATTTTTTTCTGACTTAACTAGAATTTACACGAGAGTGTCAAATGAATTTCCTTAATACTTAAAAAAGTTCCCAATATCTTTATATCGTACTCTGTGCTAAACGTTACTGCAATGTGTATCTAAATATATTAAAACACAGTTGATAATTTTTCGATGTTGCTTGTCCCAGCAAAACGTTTCATTGCATTTTATTCATTTCATTCGCCGATATAATCGCCTCTCCGTATTATGTACACGCACGATAATTTACAACTGTACATACACGTTTTCATTTTAATTAATAATCAAAAAAAAAAAGAAGAAGAAGAAGAAGAAGAAGAAGAAGAGAGGGAGAAAAACACGATGATATTGAACAGTCTGTGAATAATTCGCGTGCAAAGGTTAATTCCCACGCGAAACGCAAAGACTAACGAGAGCGAAAGCGATGAAGAGATCACCTTGAAGAGGAATGTGACAAGAGGATATTTTTATCCAGATAATATCTGTAACGGTACAGGCCACCGTTATTTCATTTCCATCTCGTGGAGGCAAGCAAACACGCCTAACGATTTCGTTTCTCTATGCTCTACACACTATGACACGCGATCACATTTCCACGTTTCGATACTATTCTCGATTTTGAAAGTTCCAGAAAATTCAGAGCGAATTTCAGAGAAGAGTTGCCCCGCAATTTCCAATGAAACGAAACAGTTATTTGCAAAGTCATTGAGAATCATCGAGATTCGACTTTCGAAATATAATCGAACTTAATTATTCGCGAAAATTTATTCAACGTTATAATTACTCACCGGGATAGTAAAGCAATGGGTCGCGTGTTCACAGCGTGCGAAAACATAGAGAAGGAAACTAAGAACCGAGCCAAGCTTCGCGAAAAATTAACGAATAGAAAATAGATAATAAAAAGAGGTAGACGAGACACAGAATCACAGAAGGGGAGGGAGGCGAGTTAGAAGGAGGAAATAGCTTAAAGATGCGAAATACGTTGCAGAATGTAATTCTAAGAGAGATATCTCGAAGTAGAAGCTGATCGGAGGTAGTTGAAGTTGAGATGAGGTTCAAAAGTATCCCTCGAAGAAACTCTCTTGAATCATCGGTCACAGTGTGGAACGAATGAATATTTTCTGTCAGTTTAGCCCTCTGTCCTCTCGGTTAATAGTGATTCCAGTCGTTCCCGGCGTTCCACTGGGGATTGTTCCAGGAGGGACCTGCGGGGTTCCATGAATTTGGACCGGCCGGTGCTTTCTGGGCTTCGGCGTTGTACAAAGAGAAGTGGACTGCCTTCGCTTGCTGCACTTCCGGCGTGTCCACCACGCGACCGTCTGGTCCGAGAGGAGCCGGCGGGCCACTGGAACGTTGTTTCAAGCTTCAATTTCAACTCTAACCGCGAATTTTCAATTTTTCTCAAATACCAAATCCCAAACAATCCCTGAGATTCCGATTCCTTTAATTTTATTTCGACTGTGACTTTAATTCCAATTTAGATTTTTTCGACTTTCAAGACTTCAAAGATCAGAAACCAAGTTTCTTCGTACGTGCAAGTTTTTTTTTTAGTCGTATGAGAGAGATAATGTGCAAAACCTGTAGTGCGGAGCGTAGCCTCCGGGTGCGTAGGGACCAGCAGGGCCGGAATAAGGACCAGCAGGCCCCTTGGGTGCCCTAGCGTTCGCTTCGGCCAAAGCAGATAGATGAGCTGCTTTCAGTTGGGCGACTTCTGGAGTGTCCACTACTCTTCCGTCTGGTCCCAACGGAGCTGGAGCTGCGTGGCCATAAGCTGGAGCTCCGTGGCCATAACCTGGCCCACCGTACCACTGCGGCGCAGAATAGGCCACGTTGACGATGACAGAAACGAAAATCTGAAAGTGAGAATGAAATTCATTCGTTGGTATGAAGAACGTAGCCATTTAACCATATTTCTATATCACCGAACGTGGAATAATAATTTTGTACCAAACCATCGATAGATACAAGTATCGTCGTCGATGTTTGAAGATAAATCGCAAAGAGAAAGAAACTAAACTAAAATTGTATTCTCGAAAAAATATTCAGCCTTCGAAGGCTTTTATAGAAAATCGAGTAGAGCATAAAATTCCAATTTTATGGTAGGAGAGAGAGAGAGAAAGAGAGAGAGAGAAAAAAATAGAAGGAATTGAAAGGCAACAGCGAAATGATGAAACAGACTTACGATATATCGGAACATGTTGTCGAAGCTCAGCGGAGGTCGATCCAGCGACTGTTGACAGAGCTTGTGGTATCCGGCATTATGACTTGGACAACCAAGTATCGACGAATTTATAGGGGTACAGGGCGTCGTCGCGTGCCCCACCCCGTTGGCGACAACCCGGGGGTACACAACCACACCCAGGGAAATGCTCTGCTTTAAACGCCTGCCTTGCCCTGCCCGGTAACATTTACCAGCCATTAACAATGACATCGTGTGTGTCCCGTAACCTCGTCAAGAATAAAACTCGCCTCGACGCTATGCGCGAGACGTGGACACGCACGTCATCGCCAATGCACTCACGTCCTGGACGTACATATATGTACACACGTAGACACGTGTGCGTATATAAATAGGAAGTGCAACTCGTGAAATATAATTTTGACGGTTCGTACAATTTCACGGTATTGTGATTTTGCAATTTTTTTTATTGGGAGGAGAGGGGGGAGAAGTAACGTTGAGCTGAAATTTGAAATGTAAAATTGCGTCAGTACGGGCGTATTATTATTAAATTGGTATGTGTTTTTACAATTCTTCACTTGAAATCTAATATTAAATATTGTAACAAGTACTCTACTCTGAGTATTTTATATATTTCTATGTACGTTCCATGCATTCTGTAGATTTCTGCGTTCTTAGGTTTCTCGAAAATTGTAAAAGAATTTTTTCTTTTAGGAATAAATTTCGATAGCGAGATGCTTGGTTTGAAATTTCCTACAATCAATAATTTTTATTAACGAAAATTGCAAATAGTTTGTTTAACATATGATTGTATAGTGTAGCGGAGACGTTGGAGAATGTCCGAGAATTTTTTCAGAATTTTTGAAAATCTAGAAGACGGGGAAAAGAATTGTTATTGAAGATGTGTCGGTCACCGCTGTCTGGAGACTTCAACGCCCGCATAAGCGCGAACATTATAGTGTAAACGTTTCGGAGACTTTAACGCCCGCATAAGAAGATGCGCTCCGAAAATCATACACATGCATACCTACGTACGTAGAATAGCTATCGCATGCACGTGGTTATTTTTATTGTTGCACATTATTATATATTATTGTTATACTATTTATATTATAAAGTTTATAATATATCATTGTTATATATCATGTGGCTCGTAATTACTTTAGAATTATTTCGTATAATTCAAAATCGAATAAAGTGACGGTAAAATTTAAATATTTATTACACAAAACAAAATTCAACTACCACATTACATGAAATTAAAGTTTAATTGCTATCGGATCGTAAATATCCGTAATCGTCCTATCATATATTACTTTTATACCATTTATATTAAAAAGCTTATTTATTTATATTATATATATTATACCACTTATATTATAAGGTTTATTTATATTATAAAGTTTATAATACATCATTGTTATATATCATGTGGCTCGTAATTACTTTAGAATTATTTCGTATAATTCAAAATCGAATAAAGTGACGGTAAAATTTAAATATTTATTACACAAAACAAAATTCAACTACCACATTACATGAAATTAAAGTTTAATTGCTATCGGATCGTAAATATCCGTAATCGTCCTATCATATATTACTTTTATACCATTTATATTAAAAAGCTTATTTATTTATATTATATATAT